CCCCAAAACCCCAAAACCCCGTAATGAAATTTATATAGAGTTTGCAATCATAAATAAACAAATTTAATATCTAATTTACAAACTATTCTTAATAGATTATAATAAATATTTTTTTCTAAGATGGAAAAAACTGCAGCAAACTTAAGCATTATAAAAGGCCATATGAACTCAAAAATACTCACTAATAATTAAGCGACAAACACCTAAAAATTAAGGCCAATAGATGATGTTTGGGAGAGTTTGAAGATGGATGATAGCCTTTCAAAAGAAAAGATAGAAATGAGAAAGAAAACCAGATCATTTATGGAGTCAATAGAGCAAGAGTTAGTCGAATATAGTAATAAGGCTGAGTTCCCTCATCATTAGTTGCCTAACCTAGCTAAATTAGGAATAAATGGACTTTAGTTGAAGGATCAAGGCCATCCTGGTCTTACAAGTGCAGAAATGGGTGCTATGCTCTATGAAATGTCCAAAATTGACATGTCAATTGCCACTTTTTATCTATCTCACAATTGTCTTGCTATGAGTGTGATTGGATTTTTAGGGAGCGAAGCATAAAAATAGAAGATATTGCCTGATTGCCAAACTCTTAAGAAAATAATAAGTTTTGGTTTGACAGAGCCTGAGCATGGTTCAGATGCTTCTAATTTAAAGACAAGCGCAAAGAAAGTTGAGGGAGGGTACATTTTGAACGGATCTAAAAGATGGATTGGCAATGCTACTTTCGCTGATTACATTATCATTTGGGCAAAAAATGAAGCAGATAAAAACAAAATACAAGCCTTCATAGTAGAAAAAGGATCTTAGGGATTTAAAGCTGAGAAAATTGAAAATAAGTATAGTGCAAGAATCAATTAAAATGCTATGGTAACACTTGAAAATGTTTTCGTGCCTGATGATAATAAGTTAGCCAAGGCTGAAGATTTCTCTTATACTAACCTTATTCTTGAGCATTCAAGGATATGTGTAGCCTGGACAGCTACTGGAATTGCTGTAGGGGCTTATGAGGCAGCTTTGAAATATGTATTGCAAAGAAAATAATTTGGTAAATAGATCGCTGCTTTCCAATCAACTTAGCTTAAACTTTCTAGAATGCTTGCTTAGTGTGAAATGATGGTTACTCTCTGTATGAGGACATCCTAACTCTTAGATGAAAGCAATACAACAATAGGTTAAATCGGTAGAGCTAAAGCTATTTGTAGTGCAACAGCAAGAGAAGTCTGCGCTACTGCCAGGGAATTGTGTGGTGGTAACGGAATATTATTAGAGAATAGAGTAATGAAAAATATGTTAGATATGGAATCTGTTCATACAGGCGAGGGGACTTATGAGATTAATATGCTTGTATCAGGCAGAGAAATTACTGCAGGAATATCAGCTTTTAAGTGAAATAATTAACTCTGATATCAATTATTTCTAATTTGATTAATTGATTAATAACTTCATTCAATGAAAAGAATTTTATTATAATAAACTTGAAGGGGTTTTGGGGTTTTGGGG